TATGATATGGATGTCTAAAAGAGTGTTAGGGTTTATATGTTGCAGTAATGCCCCTGAATGGTTTTTTCACTTGAAATTATATTTGAGATCTCTAACATTAAGTGGAAATTTAATGTAACACTGCTTGGTATAGAACTGGCCGAAATTTATTTATATCTCGCATAGCATAAGAATAGTTGCAAACAAAGATGTCAATGTCAATGATCAATTATTGCACAAGTTGAAATACATTGTCAACATACGCTACCAAAACGAATAATGCATAAACTTTGAACAATTACTCATTTCTACAATTTTCTGAAACAAAAGATCTTAAGAGCATTTCCTTCTACTGTTTAGTCTTCAAGAAATTCATTAATCTTAAACTTTCATAAAAGGTGCGCGCATGCATCTTATGATAAATAATATGATGCATTAATTAATAACGGCAGAGATGACGTAAATATGATAATTAAAAGTTCACAAAGTCTTCTCTTGTGACGGGAGAAGAATATTATGCAAAACTTTTAACTTTTGTGAAACGGTAATGTTATTCTTACTCAACTTTGCGAAAAGTTAAACAATATATTGCTTAAAATCACGCAGACGATATTAGAATTATTAATCAAAGCCGTGGTGCATCTTCGAGATAATATTACAAATTTATGTAATATTTGTAGAAGAAAACTCATAGGTAATTCAATGAAGTGTCGCCAAGTAAGGTAATATAAACCACAAGGATAATGCTCGAACATATTATAGTTTGTTGAATATATTAATAGATTTTTACTGTCTTTTTGGGAGGATCTCTCTCGACAACAAGGTACTTCTGTACAAAACTATCATAGTGCCCAAGGACAGTAAAAGAACTAGTTCATTACTTATGAAAATATCAATGTAATTAAAATCAAAATGAATTATTCCACGCAATTAACTCCAATTAAGAAGGTAATAAAATAAATCAAACTACTTTACAGCTTTCTGAAAACTTATTTATCGTTTACGGAATAACTCAATATTTATCAAATACAAATTTCTCTTAAGTTTGTGCATTACATCCGGCTTGGAATAGTTTTAGTTAATATTAAATATATTACGGTTTCTCGTAAGTCGCAGCAACTTGCTGCGCGCTTCTGTATAGAGATTTAAGTTTGCAACTGGGTTCATTACACAGCTGCATAAGACTTTGCCTAAGACCGAACGAAAATATTCAATTTCATAGTTTTGAAGCATAAAAATATTTGATGAAGTCGTAAATTTAATCATAAAATTATTTATTCTATAGAAGTAAAATATTTTAATATGCAACACGGGGTAAGAGGAGTGGCACGAATCAGTTAACTTTGCTATTCGAAAATATACATCTTATTCAATTGTTATTAAAAATTTCTAAATATGAAGGTATAAATATGCATATATTAAAAATGTATTTACTAACTTTCCGTGGAGCAAGTTATAGTAATCGCAAAAAATCGAAAATGAAATTTGATCAACCGATTTGAAAAATTCAAAAACATTCGATTCGTATTGATGGGGAGATGTGCTGATTAGTGTTTAGCAAAAACAGGTCCAGCCGTTCTGGAGATATAGAGTAAAAAGTACAAAAAATAAAAGTGTTTCAGACAATGGATCATCCGATTAGAATGATTCGAAAAACAACTTGTGTTAAGAAACGATTAGTTTCTGGGGAAAGCAAGTCCAGAAGTTTCAATATTTTCAATAAAATTCCAAAGATCAAATTGATATATGTATTGAAACCGAAACAGTATTTTGGATCATTCTGAGACATATGAGATAAGATCCTTTTTAGGACGCCTTCATTCATCAACTCGAGCAGAGGAGGTTTTGTTTATTTCTTGTAAACATACAGTAGTGTTTTGTTTGATAAAGTCATGGCAATATAAAATATGAATGAGAAAATTTTCAGTACATATTTATAATAATTAATATGAAAATTTTTAAAGCTAATTTTCTTAATCATTGATCAATTTTCATTAATTAGACCAAAAATCGAGAATGAAATTCTTTACATTTCTCGACGTTTTGAAGGTTTCTGAACATTTTGGCATACCTCAGAAAAAATGGATCTATATGTGGTATGTGTGTATGTGTGCGTGTGTGTGTGCGGATACAAATTTTCGTCGACGATTTCGGAAACACCGATCAACCGATTTGAATGAAGTTTTGGCGAAAGCAGGTCTAGCCGTTCCGAAGATACGGGGCAAAAAGTGCCGAAAACGGTAACTCAGTTTTTAAGAGCACAGAGCGTCCAATTTTAA